AGGGTCTTGCTATGTAGTTCAGGCTGGCCTCAAACTCACCGTGATCCTCCTGCCTCAGCCTCCCAAGTGCTAGGATTAAACACATGCATCACCAGTCCAGCCTTAAACCTATCTTTAGTTCTGAGAAACCTTCAAAATTTTCCCACCTCTACAGCTTTGCACAAGCTCTGCCTTCTACCTGAAATGCATTTGTTCCATCCTCACCAATCCCAATCAATCATTCTCCATCAGATTAGTCTTTGCTAGTCATTAACTACTTGGAGAGATCCCAGCTTCCCTATTCAGGTCAGGATTCCGATACTTTTCACTCTCCTTCGGTTAGTCCAGTTACCTGTGTCACATGAATAATGTCTGACTTTCCTGCTAGTACATAAGCCTCACAAGGGAGAAGCTGTGTGCATTTTGTTTATTGCTCTGCCCTCAGCAGTTATATCACAATCAGCAAGTAGTGTGTGCCCCCTTAAATATTAAAATTACACATGAATAAAGTTCTGGGATGAAGGTAAATAGATACAATCTTATTTATTAGAAAATGAACAAACAACGTAAAATAAACATAGTTACAAGTAAATCTGCAGTAGTAAAATGGTACCCAGAATTTCTTCTCAAGTTATATTTTTGAACAGATGTAGCTAGTTTATGTCAGTAAAAATTACAAATTTATTTCATTTTGTGCAAAATAGCTTTATATGAAAGCTTATAAACTGGAAGAGTTTTAAATGTAGACAAGATTAACAATAGCTAGAATAGAGATGCTATGTGGGGTTATAAAACCATAACAATTATGAAAATCTTGAGTTTAGGTTTACCAAAATAACATTCCTTAAATATACACTATTCTTAGCTATTTTTTAATACCTTAAAGTCTCCCATCTTTTTTCACTTTATACTCATTTTATCCTACTCAAAACCTCAACTGGACCATTTCTTTCTCAAATTTTATGTCCCTGCTCTTCCCCCAAACCCATGTCGCTTCCCTGTCTTCTCTGGTGCCAAGACACACTTTGGCATAATCCCCCAGAGTCTCCAGGGCTGAGGATTTAGCTCAGTGGCACCACGTCTGCCTTGTAAGTGCAAGGTCTTGAGCTTGATCCCCAGTACGGCAAAAAAAACAGTCTTCAATAGAAAGGAAGGTGCAGTCACTTTTATAAGGTTATAGTTTATCTGAATTATAACTTTATTTTTTGGTACCGGGGATCAAACTCAGGTCCTTGCGCTTGCAAGGCAGGCAGCAGAACCACTGAGCTAAATCTCCAGCAGAATTATAACTCTATTTCTGTCTCATTTTTTCACTGCCAAAATTGGAATCATAATGGTATCTTCACCCTGTAAATACTACTGTGAGAATTACATTGTACATTACATGTTACCAGGAATATAGAAATATTTGCTCTTAATTTTTTATCATTATTATTTCATTATGGAGAGTGGAATTTACTCTTTAGGACTAGAAGTGACCTAAAAGAAAGCCAGGACTGTAGGACAATAGGTAAGAGAGACTGCAGGACCTGACCAAATAGCCAGAATCCTGGCTAAGGTTCTGATAAATCTACTCAAGAGTGTTGCTATGGGAGGCCAACAGTGAAAACAATCCCCCAATCTCCACAATTCAACAGAATGATTTCTATCAATAAGCCTTTAATTACCGCTGGACAAACTGGGTCTGAGAGAACAGCAGTGTAAAGGGCAGATTATTAGTGTTTATTTAAAAATATAATAAAGAAGGAAACTTCAGGGGCCGGGGATTTAGCTCAGTGGTTCCTCTTGCCTCACGAGCACATGGACCCAAGTTCGATCCTTGGTACAAAAAAAAAAAAAAAAAAGGAAACTTCAGGAAAAATATTTTTGCATTTCATAATGCTGATTATCCAGTTTTTTTGTTTTTTTGCAGTACTGGGGATCAAACTAAGCACCTTGTGCTTGCAAGGCAGGTGTGTGACACTGAGCTAAATCCCCAACCCTCCATACAGTGTTTTAGTGATGTGTGTGTGTGGTTGTTTTGCTTTGAGTACTGGGGGTTGAACCCCGGGCCTCTGCACTGAACCATATCCCTACCCCTTTTTTCTAATTTTTTTCTTTTCAGACAGGCTGTCACTAGGTCACTAAGCAGCCCCAGCTGAGCTCAAACTTGTGATCCTCCTGCCTTGGCATTTCAGAGTGCTGGAATTACAGGTATGCACCACCATGCTCATATAGTTTTTTTTTTTTTGGTACTGGGGATCAAACTTGGTCCTTGCACTTGCCCAGAAGGCAGCAAAACCACTGTAGCTCATATAGTTCTTTACTAGAAATTTATTCACATCGAGGTAGAAATGTATATAATGTGATTTAGCCAGCTTCAGGCAGACACAGTAAACTTAGGTTAAGGCCCCTGCTTCAAATACTTATTAGGCTGTCTAGATTAGGCTATTAGGTTCCATTCACATTTAAAATTCAGCTAAAATTCTGTAGCTCTAAATAGCTCTATACAGACAGACTGAAAATTGTTGTGTTCTTTCTTGCCCCTATTGAGAGACAAGGAAGTATTTAAAGTAGAGTTTAAAACTGGAGTTTAGAGTGTGGGAAATTGTAGAATTTAGTTATCTAGTTGTAAGAATAGATCAAAAGAAGTTTGTTAACTGAGAAAATTAAGTCGTTTCTGGGAAATTCCACAAGTCTGTTTATTAAAAGAATGCCAGAAAATTTTAAAAGTTTCACGGGAGAAAAACAGGTTTTCCTAGTTTTCTTATTTACCATTGTCTGGGATCAGAGAACTGCAACCCAATGACCCTACGGTGGTGAAAGAGATACGACTCACTATGCACATCTGTGATGTTTGTGGTGGGCCTGTGGGCTTGATTTCAGTGGGCTTGATTTTGGATTTCGGCTGAAGTCGCCCTGCTCTCTTGGTACCATCTGATAAGAGGAGGGCTGCGATGTGCTCTTTGATGTATGGGATTGGTGAACAGAACGGGGGACTTGTGAATTCACCTGTAGCTTTTATGAGTCACTTAAAAGTCACTTGTCACCAGAGGTTAAATCAGAAAGGTAGCCAAAATAACTAAGCTGCTTTCCTACATGTATAAAAGCCGTACTTCTTCCCTTTGTGATTGTAGAACAGTGTCAGAGGAAATAAACTGCTGTTCATCCCCCAGGCTGTCTCCTTTTCTTTCTTTAAAGGTCGGTGCTCCCCGGGGTCGTCTCCCTTTAGAGAGACCACCAACATACAGGAGTTGGAAAATAACAATAATTTTAAGAACTTATTTACTGTTTAGTGCGTGTATACAATAATATATCTGGCTTCTGTTTCTAAAGTGAATTATTAGAACTTGAAAGAAAAAAGTAGCCCTATTAAAGGTAATGCAATCCATCTTGATCTCAACCCTCTACTGCTCAAATATTAGCACTGTTCTTCCTCATATGTTAATTTAGGGGTTAGATCTTAAGTTAAAATAAGATGAGTGCAGTATTAGAATAGAGACTTAAAGAAGGCAGGGCAGAATGGTAGGCAGGTTAAATGGGGATATGAGTCATGATTTTTATTTTATAAGGAAACCAGATAATAGAATATACATTTTTATAATAAAAATGCATCTTTGAATAAATAACATATTAAACAAATTTTCTATACTTTCATTCTGCTGTAACTCATACACAGCTCTCCTGGTTTCACTGCATAGGTAACATTATTTTAATGACACCGCTGCAGTTTGCATTTATTTATTTATTTTTTTTGGTACCAGGGATCAAACTTGGGACCTTGAGCTTGTCAAGTAGGTGGCAGAACCACTGAGCTAAATAGCCGGCCCACTGCAGTTTGTATTAAAGAGGGCAACTTCACATTCACAGATCATTGTCCATTTGCTCTTTAGTTCCTGAAACTCGAAAATTGCAGTATTAGAATACTTCATTTTTGAGATAAAGAAGTTATGGCCCAGAATGTTTTTATACATCATATTCATAATTACATGTATTCCCTCTGTTACTCAATATATGTTCTTGTTATTCAAAATGTGCAAATGTACAGCCTGGCTTTGGAGACTGGTTGATACCAACTGTCTAGCAGAGCCTTTAAACCAGGGAATGCCACGTAGTGCATACTTCCACCACAGGCTTAGCTGGGTGACTCCTGAATTCTCCCATACCTTATGGAAAAGGCAATGAGTCTTTTGTATACCACTCCCAGGAGTGTGACGGTGAGTAGCACTATTCCACACACAAGGCTGAATGCCCATCTCGGCCCCAGGTAACTATACACATGGCTGATAAATACAGGCCCCAGAATCCGAGCTCCACTTCCAGAAGCTGTTAACCAGCCCATGTAGATGCCCTGTGGAGGGAAGGACAGGAAAAGCAGACAAATGCTCAGGTTTCATTATTTTAAAAACAATGATATTACCAAAGTAGCACAATCACTTTCTCTACCTTATGCTTTTAAAATGAAATGTCCCTATAAATCCAGCCAATAATAAATAATAAACAATCCCTATTAAAGTCAGCTTAAGCAAAAATAAAAAGTATGAAGGAACAACCTTTCTCCTCATTTTTGGTCCTGATTTAACTCAGGTCTCATGCACGCTTGGCAAGTACCCTACCACTGAACTAAGACTTCAGCCATAATGGGAACAATATACCTTAGTAATATACCTTCTAAAGCTAACATTTATTTTGTACCTGTTGCATGCTGGATACTGAGGTAGGTGTTTTACATGTGCTGTTTCTAATGTTCCTAAGTTTCCGTGTCTAACAAATACAGAAACTGAAACTCAGGAAGGTTGGATAACTTGTCCAAGAGACTTCAAGCTGCCATAGCTACAACTAGTATTCAAAACTATGTCCCATTCAATTTATCCAAGAATATTTAGTGTAGCATTATTTTGTTTTTTGTTCTTGTTGTTTCTTTTGTATAGTGCAGGGTGGCCCTGAACTCACTACAGTATGTACCTCACGTTGGCCTCAAACTCAGTGATCCTTCTGCCTCAGCCTCTTGAGTGCTGGGATTAAGGGTGTGCACCACCAATTCAACATGCTGCATTACATTCAATAGCCCAAAACTGAAAGCAAACTAATTGTCCTTGTTAGATAAAGTAGATAAATTGTGGCATATTTGAAAACTGGAATTTTAAGCAGCTATTTAAAAAAATAAGGGTCAGAGGAGGAGGCTTCCAGGTCAGGTCGATGTGCCACGGCTCCCAGTGCAGAGGAGGTGAGCCGCGGGGGTGCCAGCAACACCCTCCCCCCCATACCCCCCACCAAAATGAGAAGACACATAAACAAGCCTCAAAACCAGACTTTCAGATCACCTACAACAACCGCAAAGGGAAACGAGATAGAACAATCTGATACTCAACCACCTGGACTCCCTGAACTGGCAACAAAAGAGGATCTGGAAAAAATGAAATCAGAAATAATTTCTCAGGTAACAGGAGAGATTGTGCCCATAGTGCAACACATGATTAATAAGTCTAGAGAGGACACAGATAAAAAAAGAGAGGAGCTGAGGAACATGATGGAATTCCAACATAGGAAACAAATGGAATCCATAAAACAGATGCAAACATTTCCAGGAGATTAAAATCCCATTGAAAGTTTATGCAGCAGAATGAGCCAATGTGAGGGCAAACTTTCAGATACAGAAGATAAGATTGCAATTAGTGACCAGGAAAAGAAAAATTGCTTTAAAATTGTAAGGGACCATGAGAAATCAATCCAGCAGCTGCGAAACTATGCAAAGAAGACTAACATAAGACTAATCTGAGTCAATGAAGAAACAAGAGAGAGTGCAGATGACATAAAATGTTCATAGAAGTGATGGCAGAAAACTTCCCAAGCAGGGGAAAAGAACTTGACATACAGATAAGTGAGGCATATAGGACTCCAACT